GGGAGAAGGGAAGGCAGGAGATGTGAGGTACCTGGGTGTCCCATGGATTAAAGGTGGAAGGTTGGACTGGATCATCTCCAAGGTCTTTTCCAACCTGAATTATTCCTGCCATGGATGGGGATATTCCCTTCTGGAGGTGTTGGCAGGGAAGGAATGTTTGGATTGTCAGGTTTGAGCATCACCAGCCCCAAAGAGTTTCCAAGAGCTTCAAGGAAAGGGAAAGCTCTGATCACGAGCTAACAATTAAACCCTCCCCAATTAGCCCTTGATTGGCTTGATGTTGCACTTGGCTGGAAGCACTGACGGGGTGATGTAAGACAGAGTAAATAATTAAAGATGAGCTCGTTAATTAACGCAATATCCCACGGCAAAAATATTCCACAGGCCAGAACAACACAGAATTAATATTCCAAAGTGTCTTCCCTCGCTGGTGGGATCAGGAGTTGGTTGATAAAAGGAATTAAGTCCATGGAATGACATTAGAGCTTTGTTTAGTCCTACCCAGGGTGGTGATGAATAATTGAAATTTTGAATTTTAATATTAAATCTGCAGCCCTGCCAAGCCAGCCCCATCCACTATGGACAGAGATTCCTGGTGGAAATTCAGGAAGGAATCCCCCACGGATGTGTATCCAGCCCTGATTAAAGAATTTCATGGAGAGGGAACAAAATATTGTCTAAAAAAATCGAAAAATCCCTCTTTGGACACAACTCTGGGGACAAATTCAGCCCCAGCAGAGAAAATTCCAGCTCAAGGTGTCAAACTTCCCAAACTGCAGAGAAATTTTAAACCAGGAGTTGTCAGGTAAAATCAGTTCTAGGTAACCCTAATCCTGAACGGCTCCCCAGGGGTGCAGATAATCATGGAATTGTTCAAGTTGGAAAAGACCTTTAGGACCATCAGGTGTGGCTGTCAATCCTCCCCCTACAGGCACCACCATCCCATGGCCTCCAGAGCCTCATCCATGGGTTTGGGACCATTCCAGGGATTGGGATTCCTGGAGGAATTTCCCCTGATATCCAACTTAACCTTCCCTGGGGCAGCCTGAGGCTGCTCCCTCTTGTTCTGACCCTTGTTAGTGATGCAGAAAAATAACAATGAGGAAGATGAAATGGAACGAGAAGAAGGAAGAGGAGGAGGAGGAAAAGCAGGAGGAGGAAGAGGAAAAAGAGGAAGATGAGGAAGAAGATAGAAGGGGGGAGGAGGAGGAGAAGAAAAAGAAGAGGAAGAAGAGGAGGAGAAAAAGAAGAGGAA